AGGAGGAGAGAAACCTTGAAAGACATTTGACAGGGGAAGGTTGTATTCCCCAGATAGCCCTGTCAACCAGCTCTGTTGACAACAAAAAGAAGAAAACAAATAAACTGGAGGTTGTGTGAATGTCGCAAGACCAGAATATAAATACATACAAAGAGAGAAGTAAATATCAATAATTCACATTTTCACAAAATATTTTAGGCTGATACCTTCTCGCTATACCAAAATGAAAAGGGAAAAAATAATATGTAGGTAAATCTCCAAGACACTGGTCCAGCATTCACCTTTTATTCGTAATGCCAACCCTCAAAAGGCACCACTGTAGGTACTATAGGCTGAATAACAAAAACAAAGACAAAGTGTGACAAGACTCAGGACTCATACATCTAGAAATGGATTTAACATTCAGAGGACATTTCAACTCTGTTTAACTCTTTAACTCACAAGAGAGAATGCAGTATTTAAGCAGACAAAGAATATCTTTAGATAGAATGTAGAATTTGGGGCTTAGGTTTTCTCTTTATGCTTAACAAATTGTAGAAACACACATCCAAAAATAGGTTAAAAATGATGGTAGTTGTCTTTTTCTTTTTTCCATTAAAAAGATTATTTCAAGCTTTTCCTATCAACATAATTATCCATCCAAACATGAATTAAGTCTTAACAAGCTCTTAAAGGCTAGCTGCTAGTTGTCCCAACGCCACTCGGTTCTTATGTGGCTTTGTGCTCAGTGACACCACTGTCCGCCCCAGGCCTGGGTGTCTGGTCCAACAAGCGCCTTCTTGAAAACTTTACATAACTGCCTTTTTCCTGTTCCACGGGCCTCACCTCACCATATCTAATGGAAGCTCTGGCCCAGAATCCAGGAATGTTGTTCCAGATAGGCCTGGCGGGTCTCACTGCTCATTAACATGAGCTCCCCCTTCCCTGCCTGAGAAGCCAGAACACCCTGTCTTCCTGGCGCGTCCACGTCCTGCCAGCTCAGGAAACAAGACCCTTAGTCTGGCATGAGAAATCTAGTTTCCTCCCCATGGCCATAAAGCCTTCAGTTTTAAGTATTTAATAAATACTACTCTTCTAGAAGGTGCTTACACTCAACACCAATAAACTCTCTGATAAAGAAGTATTGTTCTAACATGCAAAGCTGTAGGCAAGAAAATGAAGTCCCCCTCCTAGAGCCTATCGAGCCTATCAGAAGACCAAGAAATTAAAATATGTTGAATTGATTCAGGCTTTATAGCAAATACCCTATACAAGGACCTAGAAGTGAAACTTTCAAAAATCCAAAAGGATGATCAGTTTCATAATATTTAGACATATCATGATGTATAACCAAAATTATAAGAAGTGTATTTTAGATGCTTTCTGTTCAAAAGATTCAAAGGTTCTTCATAGCTGGGTAACTTCCTTCGCCCTCTTCTGTTTTCACAGACTCTCTCTGGATGGTCCAGTGTTTCCAATGGTTTCAATTGCTTCACATATGCTAATGACTAACAAGTGCTTATCTCCAGCCCAGACCTCTTTCCTGAGTTCTGGGTCCGTGTGGCTGAACTTTGAGTCCATGTGGGCATCATCATTTTCCATTCCCATTCTGCTCTTCCTCTTGTATCTTGGGTCTCATTAAATGTCGACATCATCCACATGGCAGCTCAAGTCAGGTAGCTGAGCACCTTGCTGACCCCTCCCTCTCCTTCAGCCCTCACATCCAGTCAGTCCATAGAGCCTATAGATTCCGCTGCTTTCCGTCATTCAAACACACTGACTCTCTATCCTTACTGCTCCCTGAGCTCAGGCACTCACCATTTCTCCACAGATGAAGAACAGCCTCCTAGCTGGTCTTCCCTTCCCAATCCATTCTTCACAGCCAGAAGGACCCTTCTAAAAGGCAAGGTTGATCACACCATTCCCCTGCTTCAAATGGCCTAGACTGAAATAAAAGTCCTTTGTGACCTACTTGCTGTCCACCTCTGCAAGCACATTTTTGGGCCTTTTCTTCTCTCATCCTCTGCGCTGGAGCTATAGGAGTCCTCACATGTTTACTCTGCATTTCTCCATGCTCTTGTACCTACTAGTACTCTCTCTACTCTTCCTCACATCCTTCTCCTAGCTAATTTCTGCTTATCCTTCAAAACCAACGTTCCTCCAGGAAGTTTCCCCAAGTTGCCTTTGGGTTAATCACCCCTTCTGTATGTTACAGCAGATGTGGTGCTAGTACTTATATGGTATTGTAACTTCACTCTCCTCTCTTTCCCCACTGGACTGAGAGCTCCATGAAGGCTAAGACTCTGTATTTTCACTTCTCAATTCCCAGAGCTTTGCACAGGGTCTGGCTATTGTATGTCTTCAAAAAATTTCTGTTGATTGACTAAATGAAATGCTCTAGAATGAGGTCATATGTACCTGTGCAACCTTTTGCTGGAAACCAGGCTAAATGAAAGCTACAAATAAGTACATACTACTGAAGTGGGAAAATTTGTTCAAGCAAGGCAAAGAGTCAGATTTTTAAGATTCTGGTCAGTTAGGCCTGATTATTGGAATGTGTCTCTCATAAAGACACAGAAGAAAGTCTTGGCCATTGCTAACTTCAGCACAGCAGCCTCTAGGGACAAAGACATTTATGTGGGAGACAACCCAACCCTGTGCAACTGCAGACAGACACTAACAAGGGAGAACAGGCACGTGCTTAGGGATTTAACAATCCCCAGAGAAGCAGGTTTAGAAGCTTCCATCTGGTTTCTTGCCAATAAACAAAAAAGGAGGTCTTTCTTCCATTGTTTCAGTTCTTTAAAGAATTTATAGACACAGTAAGCCCCTACAGGCCCTATCAAAATTATACCTCGATTAGATATTTTTAAAAAATGAGCTTTGAGAAAAAAAATTTCTTTGAGAAAGAAATTCATCCCTGACTTGGAAATGTCAGCCACATTGTGAGCTACACAAATGACTTCAGGATCATTACTTCTGCATCTGCCAGTCCCTCTGCTGAAAAGCTGCCTCCCTGGGTCCTCCCTGCTTTGTTTCCTACCCAGACCTCTCCAGTCCATGCCATGCTCACATGTTTTAATGCTGTGTCTCTCCACTGGGAATATTATCTATTGCTATTAAACCAAGCAGCCAGTCCTAATGAGGAAAACCCTACAAACAGCCTGTACAAAAAGAAGGCTTGGCTTTTGGTTTCATGGCCTGGTAGAAACCTGAACAATCCTCAACTTGGGAACCCATGAAGGCACAAGCAACGTATTGACTTGATGATCAAGCAGAGACTAGGATAGAGGTGTTACCTTAAAGTGATCTGTTGGCTTTGTAAGTAAACAACTCTCCTGCCCTCTCAGGGATTGTTGATGGTTTGAAGCTGGCCCTAGGGGTAGGAATATGAATATTACCAAACCAGTCATTTCATGACTTGCTAGGTGACTCTCAGCCACCCTTCCAACATCTGTCTCTAGGAAAACTGTGCTTATCAGAAAACACACTTCTGTTGCTTATATTTTGTATTCTAAAGTAGAACTTAGAGCCAGCCCTGGTGGTCTAGTGGTTAAGATTCACAGTTCTCACCCCGACAGTTAGTTCCCAGTCGTGGAACCACACCACCTATCTGTCAGTTGTCGTACTGTGGCAGCAGCTTACATAGAACTAGAACAACTTACAACTAGGTTACACAACTAGGCACTGAAGCTTTAAAAATAAATAAATAAAGGAGAACTTAGCAGCATTTTAAGGTTTCCAAAATTGAGTGTGAATGGATATGATTCGAATGGAAACTCTAAATCACAGTTTAAAAAACTCCAGTGCACTAAAAAGAAAGTCCAGTTTAACTAACCAATTGAGTATCTTTCCTCTCGAAGTTGCCATTCCTTCTGCCAGCCTTCTTTCAGTCAGGCACAACCCCTCTCCTTCCATCATTGACACTCAAGAACTTGGAGATCACTCTCTATTTCTCCCTCTTCAGCGTCCTCCCAACAGTCATGCAATAGCCAGGATGCAAAGATTTGCTTTTACTACACCTTACCCCTGCGCCTCTTTCTCTGACTTAGCCTGTCACCATCTGACCTCTGGCCCACCTGATATATTAACCTTGCTTAGATCAGTAAAATAGTATCCTGATGTTCTCACTGCCAGCCCACCCGACACCACTGTTCATTTTCCTGAAACGTGTCTTGAATCATGTCATTCTCCTGCTCAAAAATTTTCAAGGGAGCCCCATTCTAAATCAATGCTACAACCCCAGGTTTTCAACCTACCTTTTCTGCTCTATATTTTGTTATTTCAACTACGGGTACATATTTGCTCTTCTTTCCACACAATTTGTGCAGTCCAGCCTCTGTGCTGTCGCTCATGCTCTTTCACCCAAGCTACATGGTTTCAGTGCTGGTTCCATTACTGACCAGCTTTGTGCTTCTGTTTCCTCATTTATCATGTGAGGATTATAATAGCACCTACTTCATAGGGTTTTGTGATGATTGCAGGAGGAAATCCATGCAAAGACCTTAGAAGAGCCCCAGAACAAAGTATTCAGTAAATATTAGTGATCATTATTGTCATCATCCCTTTCAAGGAGCATTTCAAATCCAGCTCTTTAGTGATGCCTTTTTTAATTGCCCAATTCAATGTTATTTCTTCCTCTTTTTGTACTTCTCTGAATAGCATTTGACATATAATGCCCTGCCTTAGAATAGTGCAGACACTTATCATGGCCTGTACTGGGCTGTACACTTGCTGAGGTTGGGGAAATCTTATTCATCATTGAATACTCTGAAGAACCTTGTAGAGCTCCTGGCATATCAAAAGGACTTAATAAATACTGGCGAAATTGAAATAAAATGATTTTACTATTTTTAGAACTCTGTTCCACAAGGTGAGGGAAAAAAGAGCACATAAAGATAAGTAAATGAAATGAATACCTTGATAACAAGGATGTTACTGGTGAAAAACACTGAGATTGATGTCATTAGAATGCACGACTTGCCCTGATAACATCCTTTCGTCCCTGTTCTCCATTGCAGGTTTGCTTAGTGGCCTATCTTGGTTTGTTTATGCTTTGTGTCTCATATCAAGTTGACGAACGGACATGTATCCAGTTTGCTATGAAAGTAAGTTGTCATTTTTCTTTCTCTCTTATCGTCGCATAGAAACACAGTACAGAATAAAGGAGGGCTTTTTAATGGGCTGCATATCTGATTATTCTAGAAGTTGCATTTTTAGGCTGGCCAAAAAATGTTTTAGAAAGGCATTCATCCAGACCCCAAAGGTAATGCTGCTTTTTTTTTAAGTCTTAAGTTCTATGAACTGGGTTGGCATGGATCATATGAAATCTGTCCTTCAGTGCCCTTAAAAGGAATATTGAAAATTCATCAGTTCAACAAAACACTTGGCCAGGGAAAAGGTGTTTCTGTCAGTGCCCACTTCCATATCTTGGGGGTTTTTTAGAATATTTTATTTTAACAATGAAGCAGTCTAAGTGCATTTCCTCTTGTAGGTGGGATCACTGGGACAGAAAAAGAACATTGGGTGCATCCAAATTATGTGTGCCAAGAGTCTGAGGGCAAAGGGTGTGGGTTGGGATCCGCATGGTTTGGCAAGTGTGTGCGTCTTCCATGTGCACGTATTTTTTTCTCTGTTAGAGACAAGCGCGTTTGGTTGGAGCCAATTCAAGTGCACAGCATTTTCACTGCCCAGTAGAATCTACTCCAAAGGGAAACACAGACACACCCTTTCAGAGTTTAGGGAGATAAACATCCAACTCAGCAATCAGAGCTACTGGAAATCAAATTCCTACATTTTCTTTTAACTACTGTAGCAGAGAACAAAAAAGCTTTCTGTAATGTTGGATTTTTTTTGGTATACTCACATTGTTTACTTTTCTTCCACAAGAAAACACATAAAAACTGGATACTCCCTTGTTCACTAAAACAAGAAAGCATAAGGCATAAGAGTAAGTTGACCATATTATTTGGAAATCATGAAGATGCATAAAATAAGATAATATATTCTAGTATAATTGAAGCTGTTGACATAAAAAAGCAATGTGCTGATATATATATATTTTTTAAATCATGTTGTAAAAGAGTATTTAATGAAAGTAAAATATTCTCATTATTTTAACTAGCAAAAAAAGCTGGCTACACAAAATGTATGATATGATCCTACAGAAGAAAATACAGCTCTTACGTGCATAGAAAAAATAGTTATCTGTGAATCGTGGGGTTATAGCTGCATTTTGTAGTTTTTTCTCTAATTTTGAAACATTATCCATAATTAGACATAACTTTTCTAATTAAAAATATTAATGGATGCTATTTTTAAACAAATGATGGAGTTAGAATTTTGGTGGATATACCTACATTTGGAAATTTTACTTTTTCTGTCTGAGGGTGTTCCTTAAAAGAAGGCCAGATAGAGCAGACATCAGACCATGTTGACTCTTTTTGTAGAGGTCTGACTAAACAGCAAGGCTTGGTGATGATTAAAAAAAAAAAATTTAAAAAGCTAGAAAGCCTAATGGAAAATGGCCTGTTAAATTACAGGAACTTCATTCACCAGGTAAAAAATGCTCTAAATTGGATTCATCAATGTATATGAAATGCCCTCATTTCCCCCCAAGATGGTCTCAAGAAAGAGCAGAGGCAAAAGCGTCAGCTTCACAGAGGCCCCCAAGCCGTCTCAATATCTGCACTTAAAATAAGGAGCAAGTGCAAAAAAAAAAAAGTCACTGCCAATGTCAGCCAGGTTGAGAGTTCTCCACTAGGAAGATCTCATTAACTGTCTCTTTTTCCCAGCTGTGACAGACATTGACAAATACGAGGCACTTTTCTCTCCTCCTGAACGTGACCTATATAGTGATGCTTGCTGCCAGCTTTCTAAGATGCCCGCTGTATTATCTTCAGGTCAAAAATGAGCTTCAGTCAATCTCCAGGTTTTCCAAAGGCACAACAGGTCACAGCAGACTCCCCTTGTGCTTCTCACACCATTTTGGGGAGAAGGAATGAAATGCACCTTCTTGTGGTGTGTCTCACTAGCATAAACACATTTTAGTGCCCCGGTACTGATACCCTGGCCTAAGCTTTGTTTGACAATTTATTTCCTCCTGTTGACTGCCCAGGGAGCCAGGGCAAGCAATCAGATGGTGATGACCGTGTCTCCTTGTAGCCTGCACACACACTCCCTCCCTTTTTTCTTAGAGACAATAGCCAGATAGCTACGGGGGCTTGTCTTTCCATCTCAGGCTAGCATAGTCTTCTGCGGAGGCCCTTTGGTAGGCCCTCCAGGCCACCAGCGCGTTCCTTCTTTTTCCCTGGGCTCTGCTTCTGGGCTTGGGGGGCCATTCGGCCTCCTGCCTTTCCCTGTGGCCCTCCTGCCTCGGGGCTCACCTTGATGATTTTCAGAAGCGTGTCCGGTTCACGTGCTGGCAGAAGCACTCCAGGGCACATTCCCCATGAGAGCATTTAAGGCGCAATTGCCTCGTGCCCTCATCCAGGAGGCCCCTGGGCTGCTGCTGCCGCCTCCCCCTGCACGGCGTGCTGCAGAGAGGCCTTACCGTTCCTGCCACCGGGGACGGTAATTAAATCGAAGCCGAACCGCCCTCCTCCCGAAGTCACCGAAGGTTGAAGCTGCAACCGGGTACCAGTTAGAGGCAGCGAGCGAGCGGAGCCGCGCCCGGGCGCTGCTGTTACATGAGCGCGGGGGCCACCGCGCCGCTGCCCGCCCGCTGCCCAGCGCCACACACGGGCTGACACGGGCGAGACAAATGCCTCCCGAGCCGGGCTTTTATCAAGATATATTTGCTCGCCTTCCCAAGGTCATCGTAAACTCTTTCACTGATAGTTTATTCGCGCCGTGTAGGTAAAACAAACCACTTGATTTTAAATTACAGATTCTAACCCAGAAGCTTGTTGCTGTCACATGAGTTAAAAGCCGTGAAGGAAAAATGCTACAACGCTGCAGATGTAGCCCACAGGCTTTGGGGGATCAAGTATATGTTTATGTCTTAAAATGGGTAAGAAACTTGATTCTGTGGCTCACTCCTGTTTACTTGGCCTGATGCTTTCATGGAGGGGGAGAAGCAGAATCACAGTGTGTGAGATATGCGCCAGTGAAAATGGATTCGTATTCAAAGGAGCTAAGGGGCATGGCTTTTGTTTGTGCTCTCGCTGGCTTCTAGAATATTTAAGATGCTCAATTAAAACTGAGCAATCACTGTGTTTGTGTAAATGTTTATATCCCTTCTACAAGCCAAGAATGCATTGTTACTCCCACATGACAGAGAATAAGACAAAGCCAGTAGAGTTGATAACCTAAGAGTCCTGAGAACTGGCAGCTCTTTCCATCTCTACTAATTTGTTTATTTATTTCAGAAATACTTAAATAGTGCTACCATGTACCAGGCACTGTTCTAAGTCCTTTACAGATATCAACTCTTTTGATTCTTATAATAATCCTATGAAGTAGGTGCTATTATGAACATCATTCCAAGTTTGCGGATGAAGAAACAGAGGTACACATGGGATTGATTAATTTGCCCTAGGTCCATAGCTAACGAGGGGAGAAACAGGGTTCGAACTCAGGCAGTCTGGCTCCCTGGTCCATGTTCCTAAACATCACCCAGTACTGCTATACACTTGTTAAAGGGTCTTGGGCAAATCTTTTGATCTCTGTGACAAAAGTTCATGTTTTAAAAATCGACAAAATTCTCATTTCAGCAAATGGATTTTTGTGATAGAGAGAATAATGCTTTTTGCCACTATTTGAATTATTTAAAGATTGAGAATGAAGGATTATCATCATTGCTTCAAGATATGTTAAAGAAATCTGCTATCTAAGGATGTGTGGGTGTGTGTGTTGGAGGTAGGAGGGTTATTACAAGACCTCCTCAGTTCCGTCCATTGATGGCAATAAAATGTGTAGAGAAAACTTCACTGGAGCCATTGTACTAAGCAGATGACTCTCAGGTGGAAAATTATCCCTTTAATTTGAGCCTTCCCTGCTGGTAAAGTCACCAATGTATCCATGTTCCCAGAGCAAATAGTTCCCAGTTCCACGCTGCCTGCACTGGCTGTGAAGCCAACAATGGGCACACAAGAACAACACAGACAGCACAATTTAATTTGGCTCTTGGCATCGAGAGTTTGAAGTCAATTGTCAAGCCTGAATATTTCAGAACAACCCAGAATATTTCAAATATTCTGCCCCAATGGCCCCACAAAATAAGACCATACTTTTTAACCTAAACACTACAGTTTTTGCAGAAAATATAGCCACTGAAAATTTGGGGGACAGGACCAAGGTGATGCGTTCAATATCACAAATTAAATATTTCCTTTTTAAATTTTATAATGGTGCCACTTTATCTGGTTCCCTTCCTCCCAGGGAGACTAAACATGTTGAGTATAAGTTATTCTTGTTTTATCCCTGAGATATAGGATGTTTCAATAGACTGTTTCACAGATGAAGAAACTTGGGTAATATTTGACAATCTTTCAAATTATTTGAAAATGAAAAATAGTGTATGTGTTGAAGATATCTTTGATGAGAAGATCCTAGGAATCCATTCATTCCTTTGTTGTCTGGCCATATTAAAACAAAATGGCTTTAACCAGTTCCACTCTCTTCCTGTTAAGCTTGGTTAAGCTTCCAAGCAAACCAGACACATGCTTACAGCACCAGGGCGCGTGCACACATACACACGCACACTCATGAAAGAAAAAAAATTTTTAGGTATTCTATGTTTAAGACTTGAAAACACTTGAAATTTTCACTGTGTGGAAAATCACTCATTTGGAGGACTTTTGTACATATATTTTATAATCTTGTATATATGTTTTTATTTTGATTTACGTGTGGTTGGAGGTGGGGAGAGGGCATCTTTTCAGAGCTACTTTAATCTGAACCTGGACGTGATGGGAACTAATCTTACTTTGGGGAATTCACATTCACCAGAACTGCTCTAGAAGCAACTTTTGACTATGGTAATATAAATCTTGCACTAAGAACTGGGTTCAGTATACCAGTCCCAACAGCTGGGGACTCTCTTCCTTATCTAGACCCTCAGAAGGCAGGGCCATTGAGAGAAACATTTCTGATAGATGAGCCCAATCACGAGAACATTTCTTGTTCTGTAAAATGTTTTGTATTGTGGCCATGTCAACAAGCATTCACAATTTTTAATCAAAATATTTCGAGTGTAGGCTAAATGTCTGAATCATTCAGGGATTTCCACAGTTCTTTAGCAGCAAAATTAGAACTTTAACCAGACTTTTCCATTCGAAGGCTAACATGTAGGCCAACAGTGTTCAGAACCTTGGTGGCTGAGGAACCATTTAGAGTTTATTTTCATGCTCAAGAACTACATGGTCATAGTTGGATTTGGGATAAGACTTGTAGGTGATGAAGTGGACACCAAGTCACCTACCTTTTGGAACCATATTTTTCTTCTCCCAGCAACCTCTTACTGGGGATCCTGGCATTCCTGGACACAGTTTGGCAAGCACTACATTGAACATAGCCTTTTTATTAACTCATGTTGCTAGTTGACCAATCACTGCCAGTTTTGGCCAACACAGTGTTCACATTGCAGAAACTTTGTTCTTTACTTCCTAGTCTTGTTTCAATTTTTATATCAGCAGTTCTTGAGGACAAAATAAGGACAGCATGCCGTTCATGGCTGGCTCTCTCATTTGGGATTCATCTAAGCTGCTTGCTACCTCCATATACAAGCATCCCACCATCGAGCTAATATTGTTGGCTCATTTCATGGAAAGCGCCCAAGATCTGTATGGCAAGTGAAAATATGAATAGGGTTTAAGGATTGCTCACTAACAAGTCAACAGGGAGCCATTTCCATGTCTTGGGTACTATGTTTCTGATGAGACAGTCCCTCCATCAGGGAACTTCCTGGGAGAGAAGAAAAACAGCTTTTATTAATTAGCCATGTCACTAGCCATCCAACGTTCTTTGTAACCGGCAAAGTTTTCTTCTGTTTTCTTGCAGCTGTTGTACTTTTTGCTGAGCGCTCTCGGCTTGACGGTCTGCGTGCTGGCTGTCGCGTTTGCTGCCCACCACTATTCACAGCTCACACAGTTTGCCTGTGAAACCGCACTCGACGCCTGCCAGTGCAAACTGCCCTCCTCGGAGCCACTCAGCAGGACCTTTGTGTACCGGGATGTGACTGACTGTACCAGCGTCACTGGCACTTTCAAACTGTTCTTACTCATCCAGATGATTCTTAACTTGGTCTGCAGCCTTGTGTGCTTGTTGGCCTGCTTTGTGATGTGGAAACACAGGTACCAGGTCTTTTATGTGGGTGACAGGATATGCTCCATAACAACTTCCGAAGGCCAGCAGCAAACAGTCTAACATTCTTGCTCAAAGATGGGGGAGAAAACAGCTCACTAACTAGCTGAGGTTAAAAAAAAAGAGAGAGAGAAAGAAAAGGAAGAAAGAAAAAGAAACTTTTGGCAATAATTAATATTCACCATTCTAAATGAATATTTTTATATTTTTCGGGAGTGAAAGAGCATTTCTTCAGGTTTCTATAGTATTTTTAAAAATTCTTATGGGAAAGATAAAATCCAAGTTGACTTTGAGATATTCAAAGAACACTGAACAGGGAAAGAATGGCATGTATCTGTCTTTACAGTCTGTAGTTTATTCCTAATACTCATTTTATTCATTACTTATATAATCTTCTTTCCTCTTAGTCCAATTTGATGGTGTGAATTTGTGTTTCAGGCCCACTTGCTAAATTTTGTAGAGTCTTTTCCAGGCCTTCCCACTTCCCACCATTATCCTCACTATGTCTTGGAGAATGGTTGAACGGCCAAGTTGACTCTTATTTTCCCTGGTAGAGTTGTCTTTAAGGCATGAAAAAGCTTAAAGGAGCAGAGTAGAAAAGGAAGAGACTTGGCAAAAGCCTAAATAATTATCAACACCTGGGCTAGGGGGGACTTCTCAGCTCCCTTCGTTTGGCTCTGTAAATAGATCACTTAATGCTTTGGATCTTTGCTTCTCAAATAATTGAAAGTTGGTGGTGGTTGTATTCATAATGGGGTAGAAGGTTTAAAAATAATTACATTATGCTTCTATTCTATCATCTAAAACAAATCATTAAGACTAATTTCTAGCTAATTGTTAATTATAATTATGCTCAGAAGTCTATTTAATGAGCTCTGGCTGTACTTATGTAGCACTGTCGGTATTAGGAGAAATTACTCTCACAAAAGAGGAGGCTTAAAGATTCTTTCTTCTGAAAGCCAAGCTTTACAAGGGAGAAAAAAATATATTTTTTATTAATAGCTCAGGTTAATAATACTCATTTAAATGAAAACAAGAGCATTTGTAATGGGAAATGTTTATACAAATAGCACATTTGTGATATGTTGTAAAGTATCTCTCTTGGCAGCTAAGTACTTTTGAGGAACATTGGGTAATGCTGATGTCTTCCATTCATGAAACTGTATCTGATACATAATCCTATTATTGATTTGTATTCACAGTCAACCTAGAGACTTAAACTAATGTTTTGAAGTCCTTATTCGAGCATATGCCCATTGACTTGGGTATATGCTTGGAGGGTAGTTTTTGTTTTGTTTTTAAGTGACTGTGACTTTAAAAAGCACAAATACCCTATGGTGGGAGTCTTTTCTCTCTTATTATTATTATTATTAAATTTTGAACAATACCAATGTTTTAACGAAGGAGCTCAGAATGCAAATTCGTGCAGCATAAATGTTATCAAGAACTTTCTGGGGGCTAGCCCGGTGGCGCAAGCGGTTGTGTGTGCACACTCCGCTTCGGCGGCCTGGGGTTCGCAGGTTCCGATTCTTGGCGCACACTGGCGCACTGCTTGTCAAGCCATGCTGTGGCGGCGTCCCATATAAAGTAGAGGAAGATGGGCACAGATGTTAGCTCAGGGCCAATCTTCCTTAGCAAAAAAAGAGGAGGATTGGCATCGGATGTTAGCTCAGGGCTGATCTTCCTCACAAAAAAAAAAAAAAACACAAAAAACCTTTCTCTATTAGTATGCTCTGTTGAAAGCAGAAATTCAAGATAACAATTGAGCTCAATTTGCCTCTCCACATTGCCTATTGATATACTTTACTAATCACAAAATTCTACCCTAAAAGAAAAACATTTTCTTATTTGCCTCAGAAGATAGATAAATAATTCCATTGATTGTGATAATAGTGTCAATTTCTCCACAATATAAATAGCCAGGTAAAAAGGAAAATGCTAAGTCAGTTAGTTGGAGGATTGTAAATATCTTTTATGTCCTCCAGATAAAACACCTGACTAACAGATGTGAAAACCTTTTTATGTATTGACTTGCTTTAAAAATGTCCTTCCTACACATTGGCTCAGGCCAAGAAGGCACATTGGAATACTTAGTGGATAAGATTCTGGAGCAGAGTTTTGATCACACACAAAAATTGCATTGACAGGACATCAAGCATCCTGATGATGGCCTGAAAAATACTTTGTGCCCTGTTAAAAAAAATCCCAATAACTGAATCCATTTTGATTTTGACAGTTTCCTACATAAAGAAGAAAATGACTGAGAATCTGAAAGGTTGTGGGCTGTTCTTTAAAGAGTGAGAAACTAGTGCTTTAATGCTAATTACTATGAATCAGGTGCCACTGGAAGCACACGCTGAATACCTTTAACAACTTTTTATAGCAAACACTACAGATTTTTATATTAGAAGATTAAAATTCTACACATCACTAAGGTGCTCTATGCTTTACAAGCAATTCACAGGGTATTTCAAATGGTAGAATAACTTTAGCTTATGTGCTTCCTTTTTTTAAATAATTCAACCAGTAAGAATGGACATGGTGATAAGCTTGTTAATATCAGGAGCTGTATATATAGGGGATTTTGCTATTGTGTAATTGAATCATTCTTAAATCCCCAAAGAAAGAAAAAAATCATAAGTGAAAGAAATAAAAAAAAAAAGAAAAAAAAGGAAAGAAACAAAGGGAAGATTCCTGTTCTGCAAACTCACTGTGTATTGATACACATAAGAATTGTGTTGCATGAATAACAAACTGCTTTGGGCTGGATTTGAAGTATTTTGAGTTTGTGTTTTGCAAATATTGAAGTTACAGTAACGGCAACAGAAAAGGAACAGACACACAGCTTTACACTTAGCAAAATGTTACATTTTAAATCTGACAAGGAGCCAAGATGGTGACTGTCTCTTCTAAACCATAAAGCAGTCAGATTTGCGCAATCCGCCTCCTCTTCCACCTCCTTCAGGAGAATTAAATGAATCAAGACTTTGGAAAGAGGGGGAACAGCCGGGACTTGGCGGTACTTGAAATAGGAGGAATACAGCAGCCTAAATGTACAGACTTTGTAACCAAGCCCACTCGATCGGTCTGTGCCTTCACATGACCACCATCTGTGCCTCCCTGGCTCCATCCAAACTTGTGTAGGCAGCTCGTTGGAGCCATGCCTAAAAATATAGCTACACCAGGCCCTAGAAACTGTAGTCAAGTAACAGGCCTAACTTTTTTCCCTCTTTGGATTAAAAGTCTGTATGATCTCTTTTGAGGGGTTTCCAGCTGCACACGTTAGTGTGTTGTTCTGACAGCGAGAGCCCATTATATGTGTGTTTTCTGTTTGTGTCCAGCACATCAGAATCTTCTTTTAATGTTCTTGTACTTCCCCTCTTGCATGCAGTATATCTGGAATATGTTTATAGATTTTTAACAAAGGGTGTGGTAGAGGGTCTACAAGGGAGCTTCTGAGGGACAACGGTGGAGTGTTATTTAAAGATCATCAGAAAGGAATTCTCAAGATGCCCTGAAAAACCAATCATATCCTATCATGAAGCAAACGTTTATATTTTCTAGTGATTGTCTCTGAACTATTGCTATGTAGCCATCAATTTCTGTTAAGTCATGCTGGCTCTCAGTTCTCACTATACTCAAAGAACTCTATCATGTTTTTAGATGTACACTGTATATTTGGGATAGTGTTAAAAAGAGCTGATGGCCAAATATATTGATTCACGGTGGAAACATTTGTTTGGATGAAGGCTCGGTAGTTCAGCCTGTGAAATGAGTACTTTGATTCATTTTTTCTGATTTTCTAGTACTTTATTATCTCGAATGAGTATCCCCTTCAAAAATATTGGTCTGTACTTTGGTGTTGCGATTTCATTCTTCTGGCATTGATGATACAGTGAATAGAGAACAAAGTGTTTCCTCCATGATCGAGGTGGTTATTTTTATAGGGGATGTGTATAACGCAGATTTTCTTTGTTAATAAAATTCCTATAATCTCTGAAAACACCGTGTTTGGATGTGCTTTAAAGTGATGGTGCATTGCACATGGACTGGTATACATATAATATCTCAGATTAGTGTTTAATTCAAAAATCTGGTTGTGGAATAGACGAGAGCTAATTTTCATGTTGGTGCTAGTCAGTTCCAGGGACTGTCTCTATGTTGGTGACCTGCACCCATTGTAGGATTCAAGGTTGTAAATGCTCCCCAGGCAAAGAGAGCCTGAGCTGGAAAAAATCTTGCGAAAAGTACTTGGAATGCTGATTCTTAATTTGTATCTATTAATGTCAAGGAAAGCTTGGCCTGAAGAATGGGACACATGTTGAGTGTCACATGTTCGATCATATTCAACATCTAATTATATAGAAAAACAGACAGCCTCTTCCATTTCAAATCTGAATGCAAGGACTCCTTCTTACCAACTCTGAGGCAATTTAAATAGTTGATCATACTGCAAAATGCAGTGGTTCTTTTTCTTTAATTTAGTTAGAAAAGCTTGTAGAATGCAAAAGGAAAGAGATAATGATGTAGGACCCATGCTCTGAGCTGAATTTCTTATCCTTGGGTTAAGGCTGTAGGTCCCAGGATTGGAAACCTGACTGCCACTTTCTGGCTGTATGACTTTGGACAAACCATTTAGTCTTTAGTTTTCTCATTTGTGAAGTGGAGAAAAACCTAACTGACTCACAGTATCATGGGAAGTTTAAATGAAATAGCACTTAGCAAAGTGACTGGCTCATAAGAGAGAGCTTCATAAACATTTGTTTCTTCCTGCCTTAGCTGGGTTCTACACAGCCTGTGACACTTCTCCTGGTTGATGCAGACTCCTGTCCCCACATCCAACCAGAAAAGTAGCTCTGCTTTGCTGTCCCCTCTTGTAACTTCCTTTTTATAAACCAGAAACATTACCAAAGGGGCCTCAAACAGAAATTCTGGTTTTAAATAAGATACCGCCAACTCTTATTGATGATAGCGTACAGAATTATGTGCTGATTGGATCCCTGTTTAGATTCATCTGGATTTTTCTTGAATGTGGCCATCTTCTCTCAGTTCTTCTTCCAGGCAGAAGTAGCAGCTGAGACATTTATCCTGATTTTCATATCACTTCTAATATAATGTCATAG